GATCAAAAGGGCGAGCTTTTCGGTCTCGACAATTTATTCGAATACAAGAACCAAAACATCCTTCTCCGCGACATCGTCAACAAGACCAACGTCGCTGAAAGCAAAGCCGGCGTCCAGGTCATGGACATCGACGTAGATTTTGACCCCAACGTCTCCGACACAACCTTCACCGGCAAATCCGACGACACCAACGAAGTCATGAGCCAGCTAGCAGCCATGATTCGCGGCGAGGACGACGAAGAATCCACCAACCCCAAAACCCCCATCAACACCAAACATGACCCCATCCAAGCCATCCTCGCCGGCGCAGGGGTCGAATACACCCACCTCAACAACGAAGTCATCGGGTCATCCAAAGTCGAGGAACGACTCAGCCGTCGCGCCGAACTAGCCGACGAGAATACCAAGAACCTAGACATGCAAGTATTTGCAGGATCGCAGTCGCAATCGCAGTCTCATAAGAAGTCATCATCATCTTCAACCAACCAACCAATCAAATACAAATTCCATCCGCCAAAGCGTGTCATGAAACGCCAATTCTGCAGCATGGCGAGACGATACGGCTTCCCAAACGCAACCGAGTTTGCCCTTGTCGTGGAGGGCATGACGCAGGCGCAGAGACGCGCATGCTTGGAGCGTTGGTATACCGAGCGACGGGAGAAACTGACTCAATCATCTTAACTTTTCAGTTGGTACAATCATTATTATTTTCTATCTTTTTTTGGAGTATTGGTTACAAGGTCGCTAGAGACGGGGTTCTGGAACTGTTTTGTCTAGTTTTACTACCTATATACCCAAGTTAACTACTAATTCGTTAGTTTAAAATCAGCAATGAGTGACGATTAATACCATATAAAGTACTACTAAGTAGTCTCCCCCTACGCACATACACTCACCTACAGACCACCAACCTACAGATTGATCTCGATCCTTTTCTCCACTCTACCTACCATACTTCAGTTACTATTGATACCATCCATTCATACCGTAGTCCACAACCCCAAAAACAAGAAGAAAGTCAATGTAAAGATAACCATGAATGGATACAATGAAAAGTAAACAAACAAGGCATCACATGCATGCATACATACACACATACATACATAACTACTACGTAATCAATCCACCTTTCACCGTTACATCAAGGCTGGCATGTCTATAATCTGAGTTTCTTCTTCATGGCGGATAGATCTACTGGGTAGGAGGTGAATTCCCGGCGTGGGAGTTGCATGTGGACTCAACTAAGAGCTCTGCTCGTTTTGGGAGAAGGTTATTTATTGGCTTACTGGTTTGTGTTTATCATACTTACCATGGCTAGGGCGTGTGTGATGTCTTTGGATTGCATACAGTATGCTTAGTCGAGCTATAATATCATGTATTGTGTGTGTGTGTGTGTGTGTGTGTGTGTGTGTGTGTGTGTGTGTGTGTGGAATGCTGAGACTCCGTAATTAAAGGCGAGCAGAGATAAAGCTACTAAAGTCAAAATTATGCATTATCCACAACCATAGTCTATATTAATGCTAAAAATCAATCACCTAAACGCTTGCTGTATCAATGCCCATCCCACGTCATGGTGTCCCAGATGATGATATGTATATCCACATATAGTAAGCAAGAATTTGCCCATCACCCGTGCTCCGGTCCGTCTGGAGGCCTTCCCCTGTCCGTTCTTTTTTCAACTTTTGTCGCAGTCTCTGCATATAAAATCAATCGGGTATCCAGTATAGTAATCTGATGGAAATGGTGGGTATGTTGAGTGATGTGTGTTGAATGTTTGTGGTTGGCCGGACTCTTTCCCTTGTTTCTCGCGTTGGAATCCTCGAGCAGGTCAATAATGTTGATCTGAATGACGGCTCGACCTACCATTTCCTTGCTTTTCGGGTATTTAGAGTTTCATGGTTTTCGCTCTTCTGTATTGTGCCTCACTTATAGGTCACTTGCCCTCCGGATATTCAGCTCGTTCAACGATTTGTCATCGTCAACTGGAGCCATCCAGTAAGTCAGTTACACCTATGTCTCCTTGGCATCGACGTAGGCATCGACATCCGATGTCCGTGAGTCCTTGCGTTCGACGGCTTCTTCTGCTTCTTTCTTAGGCTCGCTCTGAGCGGAGTCAGCGCCATCGGCTGGATCGGCTGTCGCAGCAGACTCCTTACCCTTGTGTGCGGGAATCTGGAACTGGGTGGGTTCTGTCTGACCTTCGAGGATCGGGGCAATGGCCAGAATTTGTTTGGCAGCGATCTCGGGGTTGTGCGAGTCGCTGGGGTCGTTAGTCCTGTTATACTTCCGATGCCAAGGCAAAAACTTACACATGTGCATTGATGATCCAGTCTAGGTCCTCTTCTCCCTCATCGGGGCCGTGGGGCCCGCCCTGCACCCGTCGGAACAGCCGGGGGTGCCATTCGACGCCATCATCGGCACGCTTCGCTGCCTCTTCTCTTTGGCGGTCCTCAATCTTGGTCTTCTCATCCGTAGCTGCCTCGTGGTTCCTGGCAATGATCGCCTTCACGGTGGGTTGCCACAGTCGCTGCGACTCGCGCTCGCCCTGCTGTTCAATAGGTCTGGTCAAGGGAGGGGTGTGCTTCGCATGCGTAGCGTTGAAGAGCAAGTCCTTCTTGTGGGTCTGTTCGAGTTAGATTGACAGTCCTTTGTGTAAGAAGGAGAACTTACGTGAACATCCTTAATGTGCATCTCGCCGTTCCAGAGACCGGACAGTTCATAGTATACCTCGCCGGTCTTTTCGTTCTTAATTGTCCCACCGATAGCGTTGTAAGTACCAGAGAAGTAGCCCTTGGTCTTGAATTCGATGTCGGCAACGAGATTGTTCTCTGGGCACCGGACGTAGCTGTGGTCGCCCAACTCGTATTTCATCTTTCCGAAAAGAATGCCGCGGGCGTACATGTTCGGTTGCGTCAAGATGCTAGGCCAGATTAGAGTTGTCCTCATGCGCGGATGCTGGACCACCTACTATCGTTCGCCCTTCTCCTTGTCCTGTCCGCGGTTCAAGAACCGCAGGATCGCAATACCCTCCATCATACTAGCGGCCGAGTTTCCGAGGAATTTACTGCGGGGTTTCAAGGTGCCATCTATCCGGATGTTGTGCTCGGGTGCCATGAAGAAGTAGCTCGATTTGGGCGGGTGGTGAGAGGTCTGCTCGGCGATATAGTACCCACGGGTACCGTCGGGATAGTCCCAGTAACAGGTGAAAGTCTCTCCGAGGATCGGGTTCAGCGGCTTCTTCACTCCTCTGGGACGGGTGTCAGCAAGACCGGAACTGGTGGAATAAAACCATCTCAAGGAGAACGACAACATACGGAGGTTTGATGTGCCATCCGCTGAGATAGAACTTGACGACGGAAACGAATCGTTCTAGGGGGTCATCTATGGTTGGCATAGGAAGCAGTGTTTCGGGGTGCGCCATGAAGCTGGATGCGGAGGAAATCCGTTAGCTGCTACTTATTCACATGCGATGCAGATACTCCGACATACTTGGTGATGCGCTCCAGCATAGATCGGGGTTCGAGAATAAAAGTGGGCAGGACGACCCGACTCAGGTCAGCTCCCGGTCGGAGCTGCGAGATAATGTGGGAAAGAACTACAGATAGGTCAGTGGAAATGGGAAAAGACTAGGTATTTGCAGGGGTATTTTCTTTTGTTTGTCTTTTTTTTTTTTTTTTTTTTGGTCATAGTGAGGGGGATAGCTACGTACCATTTCCCTGGTCGGGCTCGACGATCTCGTCGTCCCCGCTCACGGGCTCAGCTTTGGGCTCATCGTGTGAACGATTACCTGAAACATGAAAAAAAGAGCCCCAGTCAGCAGACATGATGGTGGGCAGCAGAATGCGCGAGATGGAAGAGAAGTGGTGAAAAGACAGCCGGTCGGAGGAGAGAGAGAGAGAGAGCCAAGGAGGGGAAGAGAGAGAAAAGGGCGGCGGAGAGGGGGATGTTGAGGCAGCCAGCAGCAGTAGTTAGAAAGTGACTGAGGCAGCCAGACAGGAATGACGTGGGGGGAGGAGCAGCAGCAGCAGCAACAGAAAAAAAATGAGGGGAGAGTCTCGACCGGATGACGGCAACAAACTTCACTCACTGGCAAGCGATGACCGTCGGCGGATGTGCGGGACGGAGATGGGCATGGCGTTCCGTGGTACTGTTGTATTTATTTGATTTAATAATGATTCTCTGGTGGTAATTGTGGTTGATCTTGTACTTCTTGTTTTTCCTTTTAACTTTGCTGGTGGGAGAAAGTACAACACGGGGGGATGAAGAGGAGACACCGATGCAACCGAACTGCGGCGTACAAATAAAGTGACTCGATTCTCGAGGGGATTTGGGCAGGAATTTGAATTGTGGTGTCACTTGGGGGTTCTTAAATTAATTGATTAAAACAATGGATGTGGATAAGTCGCAGAAGAGACAATCAGTCACTCCAAAGAATGCCTTTCAATGTCGGGATGGACGGACAGCGTCGGGATCAGGTTCCTGAAACCAACAATCAATTCTGCAGAAAAATAGGAGGGAAAGCCGCAGTGTCGGGAAGTTCTCTCTATTAATAAAGACTAACTAACTCTACTCTAGGGGACACAAGAGACGGTGAGTGTGAGGGAATCCGGATGGATGATTGCTACTGAAACTGGAGCTGAATGACGTTGATGGGAAACTGCCTTGATTCGGAATTTACTGAGGGCTTTTCTTTCCACGGTGGCTCTTCTGGCCTCCAATGTATAACTGTATATGTAATATACTCTTGGTTGGTGACACGGCATCTTCCTGAAGGCTTATACGTATATGATATCTATTCTTTCCTCGCCGGTTCTTATGCTACAGACCGCAACCACCTTCCAACTCCCGATCGCCGTCCAAAATTTCCAGTTGGACTCGCGATCAAGAGGGGCTCACAGGCTTGGCAGTGGGGATGACGGATGACAGCCCATCGCTTTGCTTTTCTTTTTCTTTTCTTCTCATGTTTCAAGCATCAAGCAATGCCGATGATCACTTCCTTGGCCTCCTATAATGGTTGGTGATTATTATTATTATTATTTCCTTCAGATCTTAGTCTGAGGGACCCATCTACCCATCTCGTCTATCTCTATACCGGATTAACCCTTAACCATCAACTAAATCAATCCATCTCTAGTATCTACTCATGCCGACTGTCGTTTCAGCGGAGCATCCCCTCCTGTGATCTCCCGTAGGAATTCCGCATCGGGATGGTGCAGCATGACATGGAAGTGCTCCACGGCATGCACTGACTTTAATGACTTCCAGTTCTTGAACCAGATGACCTACCCTTCGTATTAGTATCTTGAAAAGAAGCATTTCCCATCACCACCACCGCCCCCTGGCGCATTCCATCCAACATTCTAGCCAATACATACCTGATCGGCTGGCATCCGTGAGAGAAACGTCCGTTGCACATACTCCTCAATCTCCTGTCGTGCGCGTGGCGTCAGGTCATCCGTGACCGGATCATCCTCCAGCTCGAACTTTGTCCACACCACCAAGTGAACAATGCCTTCCTCGACTCCATATGGCCAGTCATTGTAAAGAATGCGAATATCCTCTAACCATCACAACCATTCTTAGCACTCATCTCATCTCGCAGGCAGCCAAAACTCATTCGAGGAACGAAAAGGAAGAGGACAATGAATACGAACCATCATATTCAAACGGCCGCCCCTTCGGCTTCAAATCATCCGCCGTCCCTTCTCCCCAGCGAAGCCGTTCCTTCACGACAAACCGCATGACCGATCCATACTCCGCGACAATCTGCTCCTTGAACTCAAGATACCGTCTCAAATCGCTAGGAAGACGCTGAAACCGATCGATCTGGTTGGACCCTGTCCATCATCTATTAGCGGACCACTCACTCACGGACCACGTCCTTCCCCCCTGACGCACGGTGACATTCGGTCGGTCAAACATACGAACGATCTCCTTGACTAGCTCCCACCCCTGTCTCCGGTACTGCTCGTCAGGGGTCGAAAGCACCTCGATGTTTTTCTGCGACATGTCGCGTAGATAGCTGGGACATTCTGCTGTCCATTGCGAGCGGGGAACATTGACAAGCCAGTACGGTAAGGTCTTTGGAGCAAGGCTGGCTGTCGGGCTGAGTATCTTGGTCGAGGCTTTCATATCCGGAGAGTGAATTCCCTCGTGAAAGGTTGTGTAGGTTGCAGCGGACGACATAGCGACGGTCTGACTCTATCGATAGACGAGCGGTGGCAGGGGAAAGAACGTCCGAGTCTATGAAGCGAAAGCATCTAATGTATAAGACAAGCAGCAGGTAAGACAAAACGAACCGGTGAAAAGGAAAAAAAGAAGCAAGCAAGAAAGAACAGAAAAAGCACCGACCGAATCGAGCTGTAAGAGCTGATTCTATTATAAACGGTGACCGGTTCCGGATGCGGTGGCGATGAGTTATTGATTATTGAAAGTATGGGGATGCCGCGACGCCCCGCTGCCCATTCCAGAAGGGATTGACGGTCATGTTATTAAGAAGAGGGGGAGAAGGATATCTAGCTAATTAAATCGAACGCGATGGAATAATATAAGCCAACGCGAGTATCGTCAGATGTCCCATTCATCGTAGCTATCTATCTACTCCCTTTTACTTTTCTGCGTTCTGAGCAGCCGGTGATCTCTTGGAAGCCGTTGCAAACGTCCGCCCCAACTCCACTGTGGAGACCTGTCAGATTGTTCTGCCAGGGTTGAACTTGTCGCTATCCACGGTCCTTTCTTATTCCTTGTCTCGTATAGCTACAGATGAAACATGTCTTAGAGTCACTATTATAGGCCATGTATCTAGATCCACTAGATCATTAATAGTAGTTCTACTTGGCATATCTTGATCTATCTATAGCTCAGTCCCTACCCCGTACAGAGCTGCGATGCTCACACCAGGTATACACCTGCACAAGCACACCACATACATACATACAGTATGCACGTCAAGCATCCCACACATCTTGCAATTGCAACCACCAACACATCCCATATACACATATACACATGATCATGAACTACCAACAACCCCTACACCACCCCAACACTCAACCCCCTAACCTCCGGCCCATCCGACCTAACAACCAGCACCCCAGCCTCCCTCAACTCCCTCTTCGCCTCCTCCCACCCCACCCCCGGATCAACACACCTAACCGCATCCTCAACAAGATAACTCCTCAACCCGGCCCTCGCAGCATCAATCGCCGTACACTTAACACAATAATCCCCAGCGACACCCACACAAAACACATCCGTAATGCCCTTCTCCTCCAACGCCCCCTTCAGATGCACATCCACCGACGACCGATTCACCTCCGCATCGAGGTTCCCAAACGCATCCGCAAACGCCGAGTACATTTCCACCCGGGCATCCATGCCCTTTCGCACGTAGAGGTCGATGTTCTTGGTGTCGATCTCCGGGATGACTTCCGCACCCTTGGTGCCCTCTACGCAGTGGACGGGCCAGAGCCGTTGGGGCTTGGTCTCGGTTTCTTTGCCTGTTGCGGGATTGCTCATCTCGATGAAGTGCTCGAAGGGGAGGTTGTTGGGTGGGGGGTGGTTCGGGGCGAAGGAGATGTGGTTCGGTGGGTGGCTGTCTTGGGATGCGATGCGGAGGGTGAAGCCTGGGTTCGAGAGGAGGGTGTTGATTGTTGGCGCGAGGCTGCGGGCTTCGTTGACGGCGAGGGAGCCGTTCTGGTTTGGGGGTTGTTAGTATAGAGCTGCTGTGTAGTTGAGGGTTGGGGATGGGGATGGGGATGGGGATGGGGAGGGTACGCACTGGAGGGCAGAAGTCCTCTTGCATGTCGACAACTATCAAGGCTGCTTTCATCTTGGATGGTGGCTGTTAACGCTAACTTGGCCTCTGTCAGTTCTGAGTACTGTTAAAGTGCCTAGATCGGTCTTGTTCGATATTGTATGCAGATAGGTAGGTGGTGTCGCTTTGAAGGAAGCGAGAGGAACTGTAGGCAGCTATTATCGCATCATACGGTCGGACTAGTTCTTAGACCCCGCTCGATGGTACGAAGTATTCATCTGGGAAGGATCATGGCGATAGATACCATGTTGGTACTCATCTCGAACAGCCTAGCAAGCCTCAGAATTCAGATAGGATGCAATTTACTCCGCAGTAACAAAAGCCAAGCCCGACTCTCAGTCAAGAGAAATGCCCAGCCTCCATCCCCATCAATGCTCGAGCTGTCCCAATCAGGCATAGTGAGCAGCACGCGGCTTAGTCAGCGCACATGACCACAAAAGGCGCGCGAAATCCGCCGACGCAAACTTCTTCACCTTGTCAACTCAGGGCTGCGGCCCTTCATCAACAACATCCATCCCACACCCAGTAGAACCAGCGTAAATGAATTGCAGATGATGCGAGGCTCTTCTAAGGTATGTATATGCAATGCAAACATCTAGTCCAATCCCAATTCCTCCCCGCAGCATGATGAAATCCTTATATATTGGAGCTGTCTTAGCACATTATGCGGACAAACTTTAATTACTTACGCAACTGTTTACTGAATCCTGCACCCCTTACACTATACTTCTTTGTCACTGCCATTGAATTTGTTTCTGCCGCGGATTCTAATTGTCAGTAGTCATTACAGAGCCTAACTAGTGAACAACACACCTTCCAGCCTCCTTGATACCCCCCAACGATCACTTACCGAATTCATCGCACACCACCTAAACTTAACCTACGGTCACACCAAACGCGGCTATAACACTCACCATCATGGCCTACGACCCCCGACTGTCCAGTGCAGGCACTGCGACCGCTCCCTCCCCTCCACCACCACCCCCACCACCCCCAGAAGCCATGGGTACACCAACAACAACAACCCAACCTCAACCCACCTCGACGCCGAACGAGGCCAACAACAACACGGTCGCAGAATCGGAGTCCTCATCATCTTCCTCATATAAACTCCGATTCTGCACCGTATGCGCCTCCAACCAAAACCGCTCCATGGAAGCCCACCTCCGGCTCTCCACAGCGTCGAGCCCCTTCCCTGTAATCTCCTTCGGGACGGGCTCTCTAGTCCGCCTGCCCGGGCCCTCAATCACCCAACCCAACGTCTACAACTTCAACACAACCTCCTACTCTCAAATGTACGACGAGCTGCTCTCCAAAGACGAGCGTCTGTACCGCAACAACGGTCTCCTGAACATGCTCGAGCGCAACCGTAACCTGAAATGGGGCCCGGAGCGCTTCCAGGACTGGGTGCCGGGACAGCCGCGCGTCGAGCACGTCTCGAAGGGCGATAAGGGCGCCCTAGGTACTGAAGGCGGCGTCGTCGATGTAATCATCACCTGTGAAGAGCGGTGCTGGGATGCCGTGGTAGACGATCTCATGAATAAGGGGTCACCTTTGAACCGCCCCGTGCATGTCTTTAACGTGGATATCAAGGATAATCACGAAGAGGCGTTAGTAGGAGGCAAGGCTATCTTGGATCTAGCGAATCGGTTAAATGAGGCTGCTTCGCAGGAGAGAAAGACCAGTGGTGCCGATGGATGGGAGAATGGAGTCGGTGAGGCGAGACGGAATTTCGATGCTCGCGTGCCTGATATTCTTGCTGAGTGGCAGGAGAAATGGCCTCATTTGCCGGCTTTGTGGACGCTCGCTTGGCTATAGTCAGCTTAAGCTTGAGTTTAGACAATGCGTATGCATTCAGTGGGGCGTCGGGTTTGATATGATTGAATCCTAGATCTGTTAGATCTATATCAGATGCAGATAATGTTTCATCATCCTTAAGTAATTGAATACTATCAATGACCTCCAACTGTTATTCGTTCTCTTATTTATCTATTCAATGAACCTTGTATTATTATTCTATAGCTACTACTTCCCTGCTACTTCTCTCGACTCCTACTTCCGTACTCTTACCTCGAATATATGGTGTGAGGTCCCAAAGGAAATGGAAATACCCTGAATCTCTCCCACCCAGGAAACTTTCATAATATTCTTTCCTACTAAGGATCCAAAAACAGCTAGCTATACAACACTGTCAATTATATATGTCTTGATGTTTCTTATTTTCTTCTAAAGACACTTTCTAGCACCTGTAGCATACAAGACACGCCCGGTATTATACCACCACCCCCTCCTCCTACCCTCTAATACAGATGTATACTTTCTATAAGCAGCACACAACCAAGACCCCTCACCCACAAAGAAGAAACGTATAAACAACGTAATTAGATGAATTTTAGACAAGAGTCAAAAGAGAAAAAAACGCCATCATCCAGCCCGATAGATTCCAACCACCAACTCCCAAAACGAACCAGATAAGTAAATGCGAGACAGACACCCGAAGCAAGGAAAGAGGGTATGAATAGGGTAGGTATCAGAAAAGCTCCCCCCGCTGTCCAGCACCTCTCTCCAAATCTCTCCGTCGACTCGGCTTCCCTAAGCTACCACCACCAGATCGTTCTTCGCGTTCCTCATCCATCATGGCCGTCTCTTCTTCAATTTCTTTCTCTGTATCTTCGCGAAGACCGAGGATATCCGGAGGAATGAAGCTCATTTGCACGCTCGGAGCACCTTGGATATATCGGAGTTGTTCGCGGATGGATTGGAGCAAGCCGGCGAGGTAAGTGCGAGGGTTCTTGTTCTCGAGCTTGCGCATTTCCGAGAGGGGTGGGAAGAGGGAGAAGTCGGGGCCGAAGTGGTTGCGGAAGGTGACGGTTTCGGGGATGTGAGGGTCGATGGTATCCTGGGCGTCGATGAGGATGGAGGTTTCGTGGGCCCAGGCGCGGGAGACGTTGCGCGGGGTGTAACCGCCACCGCCGACGACTAGGAGTGGGAGGTTGAAGGTTTTGACGAAGGCGACGCAGGCGCCGTGGGCGGCGACGTTCAGGTTGAAGCAGCCGAGACGGTCGCAGCCGAGGGAGTCGGCACCGCATTGGAGGACGATGGCGCCGGGGCGGTAGACTTCGACGCAGGAGCCGACAACGTCGCGGAAGAGTTGGATGTAGGATTCGTCGTCGATGCCGTCGTGGAGGGGGACGTTGACGGAGTGGTGGGCGCCTGGGTTGAGGGGATGGGTGGGCCCCGTGCTGTCGAGGCCACCAGTGCCGGGGAAGAAGTTGTCCTTGTCGTATTTGTGGAAGGAGACGGTGAGGACGCGGTCGGTGGACCAGAAAGCTTGTTCGACGCCGTCGCCGTGGTGGACGTCGATGTCGATGTACATGACGCGCGGGTGCAGGCGGAGGAGCTGCAGGATACCGAGGACGATGTCGTTGATGTAGCAGAAACCGCTGGCTTCGGCTTTTTTGGCGTGATGTAGGCCACCGGACCAGTTGACTGCGATCTCCGACTGGTTGTTGCAGAGCTTGCGGGCTGCGTCGATGGTGCCGCCGGCGTAGAGGGAGCAGTAGTTGTAGAGGCCGTCGAAGATGGGGCAGTCGTCCCCGAAGTTGAAGCGCGCGATGTTCTCACTTTGTTCAGGGTTCTCCATGTCGCCGGGGACAACTTGCTTGAGGAAATCAAGATAATCTGATTTGTGGAAGTCGGCC